ACTCTGGTGGACACAGGCGTTGGCTTGACCAAAGCTCATCTCATAAATACTCTGGGAGCCATTGCCAAGTCTGGTACAAAAGTAGTTATGGCGGGTCTTCAGGCTGGTTCGGACAGCTCCATGATTGGACAATTTGGTGATGGCTTTTATTCTCCCTACCTAGTGGCAGAGAAAGTGGTTGCAATCACAAAGCACAGTGATGATGAGCAGTATGCCTGGAAGATTTCTGTTGGGAGTTTCTTCACTATACAACCTCACCACAGTGAGCTTCTTGGCTGGGATACCAAAGTGATCCTCTACCTCTAAGAGCAGACAGAGTACTTAAAGAAGATGTGGGTCAAAGATCCCTTGTCAAGGGCATGAACCCCAATTGCCAGTTCCCCGGCCCTGACCACATTGATATTTCTCTCTATTTCACTCTCCCCTCCTCCTCCCTTCCTTCCACCCTCTCTAGAAATCAATGGAAAAAATATCCCCAGGTTAGAATTAAAAATAATAGTAAAATTAAAAATTTTAAAGATATGTGTATTAGTTTACATATTTAAAAACTGCCATTGCACTCCATCTTTGCAGAACAAGATAAAGTAAATTAGGGAAGCTTTGGGTTAAAGTCTATAAGGTCCCAAATTGGTTTGGGGGAGGGGGGTTGTGCCAATGTGTAGGCAAAGATGGTCCCAGGCACCCATCTCAGGCCTACTTAGACTGGGCACATGTGGCACCTGTTGGCATTTTTTATTTTGTAATAAATTCAGAAGGCAGAGAATTCTCAGAAAAGAAAAGGCAGGAGCCAGAGAGAGGTTTCATTTCTCCAGCACTGAGAAACCACCAAGTCCTACAGGTTCCACAAACTGCCTAGTGAATTCACAAGCCTCTGGAACTTAGGCCCATAAAACATTGTGGAATTTCACCAACCCACATGTCTTCAAAGAGTGTGGTTGAGGGAGAGGGAGAGGAGTATTCAACTTCCTTTTCCAAAACCCAAAAAAGGGCACTGAAATGATCTGCATGCTCCATAGTCCAAATAGCTTGACTGATGTGATGCATGAAATTACATAAACTGGGTGTCCCCCTAACATGCATATACACTTTAACAGATGATAGCTCAATTTTGAAAATGAAATGTATTTTAATAAACACTGCCTTTATAATTATTCAAAATATGTATATACATTTTTGGAATACATATACACATAATTTACATACATATTTGCATATAAATTATATATAAATATCCATATATCACTAATATATATCTATATACATACTAGTAAGTATCATGTAAAATATATGGATATGTGAAAAGATAGACACTGAACTATGATTGCTCAATTTTTGGTGCTTTTAATTATTTATTTCTATCTGTATTTTCCCAATGGACACAATATAATTAAAA